TCGGGCAGCCCCTATGCCTCCGGACCCTGTGGCCCCGGCCGGGCACTTCCCCTCCCGGGCTCCAGTGGCGCAGGGTCCGTAGGCATGGGGGCTGCCTGAAGCCCGTAGCGCTCAGCTCTTAAACAGAGCCGAAGAGTCAGGGGAGGAGCAGAGCAGCCGCGGGAGGGGATGGGGGTTTGATTGCCGAAAAAGCCGGACATGTCTGGGAAAAAAACGGACGTATGGTAACCCTAGAAAGGGGGGGGGGGGTCTCCCCGGATTTTATAGCCACGTGTGAGATATTGAGAGAGAAAAGGGTCAGAACGAGAGAGAATTTGTATCAGTGGGTGAGAGGCAAGTGGCACAAACAGGGACAGGATTCAATTAACACCCCTCCCCGGCCCGCCACTTCTCCCCCGGGGATTTCTTGGCTGCACAGAGACAGTTCAATCCCCCCCCGCTGACCCACAGGGGACCTCCCCGCCGGGCCCCAGTCTCTACCCAATCCCAACGGTGCCGGGGGCAGATCCTGCTGCAGCTCCACTGGGGCCGAGGCAGCTCCGAGGCTTCTCCCAGGTTCCCCGGGGCAGAGAGTCACTTTCCTGCCCGGCCCCAGCGCTCCCCCCCCCGGGGTCTCTCACTCACCGGGGGGCTCCGGCCCGGGGGCTGCTGCGGGCACAGCCCGGGGCTGCCCAGGAGACAGGTCCCAGCTGGAGAAAGCCCCTTCCCCCGGCCGGGCACGGAGGGGTTAATGCCGGGCTCCCCCCGCACAGACCCCGGGGAGCAGCAGCTGCTCAGCCTGGGTCCCTGGATCACACCGAGGCAGCCACAGCAGCTTTGTTCTCCCGCCCCCACAGGGACTCGCACGGAGCATGCGCAATTTCAGCTTACCTGGACTGGAGAGGGCGGAAGCACCCCCCCGGAGTAGTCTGGCAGATGTAGTTCCGGACTCTGCAGCGAGCGGAAGTGACGTTGACAGGGAGGAGGAGGAGAACAGCTGCTGTAACCCTCCCTTACCTGAGCTGAAGAGGGCGGAAGCGGCCTGCGGGGCAGGCTGGGAGATATAGTTCCTGCCCTTCCCGGGAGCGGAAGTGGCGTTGAGCGGCGGGAGGACGAGTCGGGTCGGGTCGTGTCGTGAACGCGCGCGGGGCCCTGCGGTTCTGCCTGGCTCGTGCGGGGCCGTTGGAGTCTCTCCCGGAGCCGGAGAAGTTTGTCTCCCGGCTCTGGGCATGCGCAGGGGTGGGGGCAGTCACGCATGCGCAGAGGCAGCGCTCACCAGCTGCGGAGCTGCAACCTCCAGGTACCGGAGCGAGCCCCGGGGGCGGGGCCGGGCGGTGACTCTGCCCCAGTGTCCGTGGGGGGGACCCGGCATCTCGCAGCGCCCGCGGGGGGCTCGGCAGTGCTGTCCCAGCAGGAGCCCAACGCCCCCGGGCCCGGCCAGGCTCTGCCCTGGGGCCCCACGGGGAGTCCCGGAGGGAGAGGACCAGCCCCCACTGGGGTCCCTGCGTGTGGCTGGGCGGGGGCTGCCGGGCGGGGGGGAGACCTGGGAAGGGGGCGGATGGAAAATGTCTGTGCAGCCCGGACATTTGGGGGGTAAGAAGAGCAGGTGACCCCCGAGGAGCGGGGAGAGGAAGGAGGGGCTGAGATCCCCCCGGATTTACCG